CCCCTCTTCCCCCTTCCCTCACGATTTTCAAACTTTTTCTCTGCCGTCCCTCGCTGCAATCCACCCCTCCCCCCACCACGTCTTCCTCTTGCCAGACCCACCTTCATCCCACAGACAAGATTGTTAGAACCTTCTACCAGTACAATTAATAACTTTTTTTTATCTAACCAAAAAGAATAAACAGAGAAATGAGGAATGAATTGAAAATTGGTAAAACAGAAAGCTATTTTCTGCAGTAAAGAAGCTCTGAGCCCAGATCTTAAGGAGAAGGCAATAAGGATTTCGAAAAAGAAAAGATGACCGTTGTGAAATACAAAGAGAAAAGAGGATGAGCTTGGCCATGATAGTTAAATTTTTAGAATTCGCCGGAACTTTCATTACCGGTGAACAGAGGCAGATCCAGGATTTGGAGCTTCCAGGTGCCATGTATCTTTGAACGTCCATGTGTCGCTGTTTATACATTGAGATAGAGTATATTTTGTCGGTTTGAGCAACTTTTCTTCGGTTCGGGTTACTTATTTTTTCGTATATAATATAAATCGATTGAACGGAAAAATATAGTACCATAATTATGCTAAAGCGAAGATCTGCAAAAGAAAATGTTATTTTAACTTTGTGTGAAAAAACAAATACTTAACTTATAAGAAACAAAAAGAAAGTCAAAAGTTAACAAATAAAGTAAGATAGTTAACAATAATTACAGAAGAAAAAAGAAGAACGGAGTATATAGAATGATAGAAAGCTTAACGTGATGTAGCAAGCCAAAAGGTTAAAAAACTATTGCCAGTGGGGTTAGATCCTTCACAACCAAGGTGGAATCTCCTACCCTTTGCCACTACCACCTTTGTATCATCTGTTACTACGGGTGGCGCTTTAAATATATATACGATTCTTACATATATATACATATATATACACAGAGTTTTGACCGAAGCTCGCGGGTGGCGTACCACCCCTTGGGCCTTACTAGATCCGCCCATGCCGGTGAACACTAGTTTGGCTGCCAGTGTTATTCTGTTCATGTAATGACATGGGCAATTTTTTTTTCTATTTTATTTGTTGTTCTTTTTGTTAGATCAGAAATTTTTTGCTATCATTATAATTGATTAGTGGATTATTTAAGAAGTAGCAGTGGCAGTAGTGATTGTAGGGAGAGAAGAGGGAGAAGGAGAAGGCTGAGTTGGTCGCGAGAGATGAGGAAAGAGAAATTGAAAGAAAAGATGTGATTTTTTTGGAAAAGAAAAAGAAAAAATCTAATTTGAGACCCATTCATGGGCGGTGAAGAACACTGGTTTTGCCACATCAGCACTTATATTTAATAGGTACATTTTTATTACAGTTGGAGTGTTCAATAGGTAATAACATCAGTTGAGGTGTCAAAATGGAAACCGGAACCAAGTTTAAGGGGCCGTCTACGTATTTGGCCTAACAAGAATTTAAGGACTAAAATGCAGATGCAGTCAACTAGGTGTGATCTATCAGTTTCAGAAGATATCAGACAGGTAGAGATAATTCAATTCATCCATCCAAAAAAGCATACATCATGGTAATATACAAAGACAAAAGGCAAACTGAAAGTCTGGAATAAGGTTTACATGAAAATTTACACATATATGGAAACCCCGTAATCAATGCTAAAAGATGCAGCAGAGTACAGTTCATTCATTAGCCAGTTATAGAACCAAAACTACAAGAAAATCACCTGAAAAAGGCTTTCTGGACTGAAGTTCCAATATCTCCTTGCAGATATGCTTCATGCTTCAGCACTTGCTGATGTAGATACTTGGCACAAAATTTAGCAACAACTTTACCTGAAGCGTATAAATGGTTCAGTTATTTCATATATAACAAAGGTAGCATATTGGTTATGCAAGACATCTTTAAGAATGCACATTACTAGCCTAAGTTATCTTTCTAGTGCACCAAAAGTTACAGGGATTAAAGTGACCATGCTAGCCAACAAATTAACCTCCAGCTTTCCAAAACGGATATACTTCAATTACAAAAAAAAAAAAAAAAAAAAAAAAAAAACCAAAAAAACTCCTAGACCATAAGTTGAACAAATAAAAAACAGAAGACAGAAAATTTAGATGGGAAATAGACAAAACATTCCACTGAGCATGTATAACAAGCTGAACACCACCCAATGTACCACTGCCATTCTCACCAAAGGAACGTCACAACATGAAACATCATCCATCAGCAGATTTATCTCATCATATATCCAAACATGCAGGATATCTTCAACACCATTAAAAACATAATTCATCAAAAGAATATAAGATAATCATTTGCAAGCAAGACCAGATATATCTCTAGGAATTACTTCCAAATGGACAATATCATCCATTTACTGAAGACATGAAGAGGATAGATGCCATATCATGAATAATTCATTTTAGAGCGGATAACCTCGTAAGCTAAGATTACCTTAACTCAACAAACATGCTTTAATTATTAAATTTGTCAGTTATCTGAAAATAAAGTTTTCCCATTTAATTATGCATGTATAGCACTGCCTACCTCCATGACCATCATAGACACCAAAAAAGGAAGTGGAAGCATCCAAGTCAGTAATTGCTGCATGCTAAATAAATGAGGGCAATAGTTAGATCAAAATAAAGTTCATATCACACATCAAGCTGAATCTTTCCATAGCTTATATACTGTGATAACACAGACGCTGAGCATGTATTGCAAAACAGAAGCATACATTACATATGAAAGGTACTCCCAAAGTAGCTACAATACATGTACCTTGTACCAAACAAATATAAAGCACAATAAAAATCATAGTTTAAGCGGTGGTGAACTTCCCTTCCCAACTATCACATAATAGAACGTCTTAAATAATTTAATCTTTCCACAGAGAGATTCTTCCAACTATCACTCATTTGGTTCTTTATCTCCTTTTGTGGAAGGTCTTAAACAAGTAGTTTGGGTTGCTAGAAATGGTTAAGAATCAGGAAACGCAAACACTACAAAGTAGTCAGGCAGTCATAAATTTCTAGCTTATAACGAGCTGATTAGTTCTCATAGAGGAAGCACGCAAAGAAAAAGGAAGTTTGTAAATACTCCTACATAGATGGAAAACTCTGCTAGTACTGATTGTGCCGAATTACATAACTCCAGAGAAAAAGAATGGATAGAGATACGAGAATCAAACAGAGTTTAAAGGAGTCCTTTATTCATGAATTATGGAGAAGATTATACCCTTAACTCATGGTCTCATGCATTAGGATCCATAATAACACAGGCTACAAGCTAATCTTTTCCTACATCGAAAGCTGTAAAAAGCATAGACTATTAGAGTGTGTGTTTCCTCTTTTAGTATTACAATCATTTTACTTTTTTTTCTTTTTCCTTTTTACGACGATGGTGTCAGGGCCAGCTTGCCCGCACCTCATCCATTCCACCGTGTACCTGCTACCTCCCACCAGCACAGATATCGGGCATCTTTTCCCACCAAGGCTTTGCCAAATGCGAAGAGATCACCTAGTTTTTTTGTCGCTGCTGGGATTTAAACCTGAGCCCTCATGGTTCTCCATCCAATTTATTAACCACTAGGCCACACCCTTGGGTGCATTAAAATCATTTTTCCTTATGGCATAAATACACTAACAAATCATTGAATGAGAAAATATGATTTCTTTTATTCGATAAACTTACATACTACAATATATTTGCTAAAGTAGATGGGATCATTACTGATTACTCACAGCATCTTCCATAGTTGCTCGCCATCCTTGCATTGATGATAAACCATATCTAACCTTAACATTCTCACCATCTTCTGAAAATTTCTCCGTTTTCGGAGTACTCAGGTATATACCCATCTCCTTTAGCTGAAATGAGAAAAGAGAAGCAATGACATAATATAAGACCCAAAGGTTCATGAATAAAACTCTATGGCCAAGTGGATAGCCGACGAAATTTACCGGAAACCACTGATTCAGAGTGGTTATCAGAAGCTCTTAGTGCTAATCTTCGATTATAACGATAACATAAAAGCTGCACTAGGGAAAAAGAATTAAAAACGATTAAAAAGGAGAAAGAAAGAAAAAAAAAAAGAGGAACTCATTCTGCAGACAAAAATGTGTTAACGATATGTCAGAGATGATTGACTGATTATGTGGTTTCTTTAAACCATGATTGCAGCAGAAGCAAACTTCTAAGACTCACAGACTGCACTCCTGCCTTGTCATCTTTGAAACACCTGGTATTCCTTTCTTTCTAGACAGTCCATAAAAGTTTAATGCTAACTTCCACCACTTTTATGTGCCCCTCGGATCCTAGAAACAATGCAGGCAGCAATTAATTCGTTTTAAATGCCACTACCCAATGAATACCCACCACTGAACTTAACACACTCCAAATATTTTGAGGAACTTCAAGATGGAGCAAGAGATGATTGACTGATTATGTGGTCTTATAATGCATTGCATCTGTTAGACAATCTTCTTCTAGCCTTATCTTATGAGGTTTAGATTCTCTCTCACACTGTTTGAGGAGTCAATACTTGATAGTTCAACTTAAAAGGTCAAAGCAGCAACCAAATGAAAGAAAATTCAAACTATTTGGGTACTTGTCTCCAGGTATCTAACTCTAGCATACCTCAAATGTATCTCAGGAACTCTAGGGCATTTTGAAGCTCAAAGTCAGTTGCAGAATTGTTCACCTTATTGATTATTTGATTCTTTAGTACTCTGTATCAAGGGTGATGGTCCCATTGTACAAGAACAAGGGCAATATCCAAAGTTGCAACAACTACGGGGGTATAAAGCTGTTGAGCCACACTATGAAGGTTTAGGAGAGGGTGATGGAAGCCAGGGTGAGGAGGAGCGTGTCTATTTCTGAAAACCAGTTCGGATTCACGCCGGGGCGTTCGACGACGGAAGCTATCCATTTGGTGAGGAGACTTGTGGAGCAGCAAAGGGAGAGTAAGAAGGACTTGCATATGGTGTTCATTGACCTTGAAAATACGTACGATAAAGTCTCGAGGGAGGTTCTGTGGAGGTGCTCGGAGGTTAGCGGCGTCCCAGTAGCGTACACTAGGTTGATTAAGGATATGTATGATGGTGCTAACACTCGGGTGAGGACTGTGTGAGGAGACTCGGAATACTTTCTAATTATGATGGGGCTGCACCAGGGATTGGCAATTAGCCCGTTTTTATTTGCCCTGGCGATGGATGTGCTTACAGGACACATCCAAGGGAGATGCCATAGTGCATGTTCTTTGCAGATGATATAGTGTTGATAGACGAGACTTGAGGCAGGCTTAACGCGAGGGTGGAGGTTTGGAGACAGACCTTGGAGTCTAAAGGTTTCAAGTTGAGCAGGACCAAAACAGAGTACTTCGAGTGCAAATTCAGTGACGGAACCCTTGAAGTAGACGTGGATGTGAAGCTTGATACTCGTGTCATCCCTAAGAGAAGTAGTTTCAAGTATCTCAGATCTATTATATAGGGTAACGGGGAGATCGACGAGGATGTCACATATCGTATTGAAGCGGGATGGATGAAGTAGAGGCTTGCATCCGGTGTTCTATGTGATACGAATATGCCGCCAAAACTTAAGGGCAAATTTTACAAAGTGGTGGTTCAACCTACCCTGCTGTATGGGGCGGAGTGTTGGCCAGTCAAGAGCTCACATGTGCAGAAGATGAAAGTAACAGAAATGAGTATGTTGAGATGGATGTATGGGTATACCAGGAGGGATAAGATTAGGAATGAAGTTATTCGGGACAAAGTGGGAATGGATTCCGTGGAGGACAAGATGCGGGAGTCGAGGCTGAGATGGTCCGGGCATGTTAAGAGGAGAAGCACTAACGCTCCTGTTAGGAGGTGTGAGAGGTTGACCATGGCGGGTTTGAAAAAAGGTCGAGGCATACCTAAAAGGTATTGGATAGAGGTGATCAGGCAGGAGCCGCAGGACATGGTGCGGTTTCAGCTCACTGGGGACATCACCCTTAATAGGAGGGTGTGGAGGTCGAGGATTAGGTTAGAAGGGTAGTAGGTAGCAATGTTATCAAAGGCGCACTTAAGCCTTAAAGCGAGGCTCGAAACATGTTCAGCGTTTCGCCTCACTTAGCGGCGCTTCAATGTTGTCATCAAGGCTATAAGGCATACTTTTCATTGTCAATTAGCGTATTCCTGAAGATGCAACACTAAACAATTGATATTTCACTTTAGCAGTGTACTTTTGATAACACTGGTAGGTAGTTGAGAGTTTCCCTCTTTCTTACCAGTAGTACTAGCAGCATGCATGTACTTTCCTATTTCTCAGATTTAAATTACATCATGTTGTTTAGTTTGTTTCAGATATCGTATTCTCTTATGGTTACTATTTTGGTAAGTTATTCTTTTCTTCCCCCCCCCCCCCCCCCCTTTATTTCTTTTTCTTCTTTTTCTCCATCTGCTTCTTTTTATTCTTCTTCCTCTTCTCCTCCCCCTACCTTTCTGAGCCGAGGGCCTATTGGAAACCGTCTCTCTACCTTCCCTATGTAGGAATAAGGTCTGTGTACACACTAACCTCCCCAAACCCCACATGTGGGAATATACTGGATATGTTGTTGTTGTTGTAGTATTATGTATCAAGTTTAAGCATAAATCTTCTGGGTGATTATACATGGATTCTTACTGGAGCCTACAGCCCTATAGATCATTCTGTTACTGCTTTATGGGAAGAGCTTTCTGATTCACAGGGTTTGTGGTCTAAAGACTAAAACTTGGTGCATCGGTGAGAATTTCAACATAGCTAGGTTCTTTTTTTAATGCATGGGTAGAAGAAGATTTAATGCAACAGCGAAATATTTCTCTATTTCGACTTGGATTGGAAACTGATTCATCCTCCTCTTAGTAGAGGCAATTTGACCTGGAGAAGGGCATGAGCTTGACAGGTTTACCATCTCGGCTGAGCATGAAGAGAAGTCCAGTGTATAGCTAGAAAATAATAGCATGAATGTCATGAACAATCGATGTCTTTCATATCCAGCTATAACAATGGGCAATTTTTTAATTTCTAAATGGAATGGCCAAGATACGCACTTCTACACCAAAAACAACATGTAATTTAGCAATGGGACGCCACGCGGGTCATTTGTTCATAGAGTGTGAATTCAAGAACAAGGGAAAGAAACTGATTACAAGTTCTTACATTTCTTTTCGATGAAGTACCAATTTTAAATCTCTTTGAGACTTGACCACGCTAAAACCCATAATAGAACCAAGAAATTCTATTTACCCTGTATTCTATTATAAAAAGATGCTACAGTCCATGCAAGCAATCTCTAATAATCATAATCTTGGTAGAAAAAAGAAAAGTACTAACGATGTATCAATCATCAAGTTTTCCAGCACACTAGAATTATGTCAAGGGTCTAATAGAAAGAATCTGGGTTTAAGGGGTATTTCAAATCATTGATATCAAATGCTTATTTTTCCAATGGCTAACAACAACAACAAACCCAGTATAATCCACATAGTGGTTTTGGGGAGGGTAATGTGTACGCACCTTACCCTACCTTGTGGAGATAGAGAGGTTGTTTCCAATAGACCCTCGGCTCAGAGAAGCATAAACACCACATTAAAGAAGAGAAAAACAAGAAGCGCAACAGTGAGAAGCCATGTAAAAGTCTTCCAATGGCTATAAATTGAAATTAGGAGGATCTGCTAAACAATTTGAAGGTTATGAATTTATTGCAATTGTAGATAAATAAGCATAAAATGACAACCATTCCATTTCTTTTCCTTTTGATTTTTTTTTTAAAAAAATAATGGTGGGTGTCTAAGCCAACTTTTGCACACCTCGATATTCCACCAGGTACCTGCTAACTCCTACCAGCATAGTACCAGGTAACTCTGCCTGCCAAGGCTTAGAGAGATCGGAAGGACAACCATTTCTTTTAGTACCAGGTAACTCTGCCCACCACTTGGTTAGACAGATCGAAAGGACAACCATTTCTTTTTCCTTCTTTTTATTTAAACAAAATTAATTTATAATAGGGGTGTCTGGGCCAGTTTTAGCGCACCTCAACTATTCCTTCTACCCCTACCAATACCAGTACTGGCTACTTATGCTCACCAAGGCTTAACCAGATCGAAAGGCTAATTATTGCATTTCCTTTTTCCTTTTGTTTTTTTCTTCTTTTTATAATGGTAGTGTCTGAGCCATCTTTTACGCACCTCGACTATACACTAAGTATCTGCAAACTCCCACCGGCACAAGTACAAGTAACTCTGCCCAACTTAAGCAGATCGGAAGGACAAGTATTCCATTTCTTATGGAACATTATCGGCACTTCATAGCTACTGTTCACAGGTGAAGGAAGTAAGCCAGCATAATAACTAGTAAAAATCACAAAGAAACTATATAAATCGGAGTTCAGTGTGTTTCTTATGCAATGGAGTCCTCAATTGCATTTTCAATTCGTATTTTACCACTATAAATCATTGGAATAAAATAGTTAGCTGTTATGTATAAATCAAATAGAGAGAGAGAGAGGGCGGCGGAACTTACAAGTGGATTTCGCCGGAGACGGAGATCGAGAGGAGGAGGTAAGTTGCCGATGGGAACTGGTGGTCAACTTCACCGACGCAGAAACTCCGGCGGAAAAACAATTGGAAGGGAAATTCTGATGACTACTTTTTACAGGCGGACCGTTCTTTCTGAATATTCAAGAACAAGAATAAGATAGATTAAAGTATAATCAACTTATTCTTTTTCTTATAAAACTAGTAGTTCTACCGGCACGATCGTGCGGTCAATATCAAAAAAATATTTATCACTTTGTTAATTTTTTGATATTATATTTAAAATATCACAATAATTTGATTCTCCTATTCTATATTCTATATAAATAGAATAGATATTATCTAAATTTTAATAAATAAAATCTCCATTAAATTAAAAGGACTTATATAGTCATCAAATAATTTTTGTTACCTATTTTTATTTATTATTTTATCCAATATTTAGTATTATTGTATTGATAATAGAAATTATTAGCATCTTACTTGTTTAATATGTTTGTCTGTTAATTTTTTTTATAAAATAATAGAAGATATATATTCTACTACTCTTAAAATTATTTATTTATTTTAAATTTTATTATATTTTTCTCAATAATATTTTTTGAATTTTAATGAATAAATACACTTTTTCAAAAATAGAAAAACAAAAATGATTTTAAAAAATAAAATAACAAATAACTCATCTAAATCAACCCTCACCCAGGTTTGAGTAGTTAATTTAGATAGTTAATTTCTTTGTTAATTTTTAATAAATAATTTTTTTCTTATTAACTAATTATGCGGTGTGGTTTTTTTCTAGACTATCACTTGGATTAATGTGTTGCCTTTTTCTTTGGCTTTAAATAATATATAGATAGATTATTAGCATATTACTTGTTTAATATTTTTTTCTGCTAATTTTTTTGGTAATGTAATAGAAGATATATATTTTATTACACTTGAAAATATTTTTTTATTTTAAATTTTATTATATTTTCTCAATAATATTGTTTGAATTTTAATGAATAAATATACTTTTTATTTCAAAAAAGGAAAGTTAAAATAATTGTAAAAAATGAAATTAAAAAATTAACTAATATAAACCAACACTCACCCATGTTTGAGTAGTTAATTTAGGTAGTTAATTTTTTTGTTAATTTCAATAGATAATTTTTTTGTTATTAACAATCATGCAGACTTTTCAAATTCCTGTATTGTCAAAGGTTAAACAAAGTCATCCTGAAAATGAGTCAGCAGGGATTCGTTATATCACTTACGGCTTCCTTTGTCCATGTATTCCAAATATTTCCTAAGAATAAGGTGTTATTAATGTCCTCACTTGGAGCAGTGCCACATTGCTTTCCCCGTATCTAATATCAAAAAGATAAATTAGAATCATAGTGCAATTCCAAATATACACAAATATGACTTGAAAAAAATCATACACAATTGGGTTTCTCATTTCAGATAAAGCACGGCTTGCTTGCTCCTTAGTTGCAAACTTCACGAATGTGTATCCCTTATTCTTGTTCGTTGACACCTCTCTGTGCATTCAAACATCAATTACCTCTCCAACATGCTGAAACACCCTTTTTAGATCCTTTTCTACAGCATCACGGTCTAACCCACCAACAAATACTTCCAGCTCTTTCTTAGGGAAGTAAACGGATAAGAAGGCAGAAGTAGCCTTTCAAAGGGTGCTTTAATTTTTACTCAATAAATGGATGCTTTAAAATCAGTTTTCTTTTTTAAAGTGGAAAAAACGTGCCATTTAATTGTGCCATGTAAAATCAGTTATTTTTTTAAAAAGTAAAAGATTCTGAAATTTTGTATTCTAAAAAATAAAACTGTCTGAAATTTTGAATTCTGGAAAAAAAATGACTTTTACATTTTTTTAAATATATTTGAAACTCCAACAAAATTGGAGAATTGTCCAAAAATTTTACACGTGTCAATTTAATATTGCGCCACTTGTCATCATAGTATTTCTTTGCCTCTCCTATTATATATAGATAGATTTTTTAAATATATTTGAAACTCCAACAAAATTGGAGAATTGTCCAAAAATTTTACACGTGTCAATTTAATATTGCGCCACTTGTCATCATAGTATTTCTTTGCCTCTCCTATTATATATAGATAGATTTTTTAAATATATTTGAAACTCCAACAAAATTGGAGAATTGTCCAAAAATTTTACACGTGTCAATTTAATATTGCGCCACTTGTCATCATAGTATTTCTTTGCCTCTCCTATTATATATAGATAGATAGATACTTTACTCCTACGGTCCTGCTAATATTTTCTCTATTATATTTTTGTTTAACAATTATTGTTTGAATATTTAAATATATTTTTTCTCTTTGGACTTTAGTTTTTTTTTCAACTGTTCTTAAATGCATTTTTATTTAAAAATTTGTGGTTTATACTTTATACAATCACTTTTATAGTCTTAAATACGTGAATTTAATTTCAAATAAATCAAGGTAGGATATTGGTTTGATAAAGCAAGTTTATTTACCAAGATAAATCTAAAAATCAAGAAAAAGTTTCGGGTTTATTTATCACCAAGTTTTGGTGTATGTTTTATTTAGTGAAGTATCGTGAATCGTGATCAATGAAGACTTGTATAGTTGATGTTAATTTATTTAAGAGTAATTGTTACTAGGGGTGTTCATAAAAATTCGAAAAAACGAACCAAACTGATCAAAAAAAACGATACATTTTAGGTTGGTTTGGTTTTGGTTTTGAATTTTAAAAATCGGTCAAATTTGATTTGGTTTGGTTTTAATAAAAAAATAATCGAATTGGTAAATAACCGGATTAATACAAATGACTAATATGTACCTTAGTCATAATCTAATTCTTTGCCTTTACATTCTAGTGTGATTGGTAGTTTTCTTTAGTTAAGTACAAGAATTTATTTCATGTTAAGAATAATCAATTTTTGATTGAGTACTTAAATTATTCATCACTATTTGATTCAATTATCATCAATATATTTTGGTAAATGATAGATTTATCAAAGAGCAATTGGTTTGATAGTGTGACGCTGAAAATGTAGTCACCAGAATATGTGTTTGGTGGTGTATGTCTCATATTAAGAAATAAACCAATCAAAAAATCGAAAAGCTGACAAAAATCGCATCGATAAAAAATGACTTAATTGGTTTGATTTAGTTCAAATATTGGAAGAACCGATTTGTTTGGTTTGGTTTCTTTTTAGAAACCGAATCATGAACACCCCTAATTGTTACATATTATTTTCTATTTATGTTTATTAACTTTTATAAGATAGTTTTCTTAGGGGGCGTTCCTTTGAAAACAAGTTATGTTGAGATTACTTATACTGATTAATTATGTTAGGATTGGTTATCCTGATATTATTTTTTATTGATTGTTTGGTATGTTATAGTAATCCTGAAATTGTCAATTTTACTGCTTTTTGTCTAAGATAACTTATCATGTGAATACTACTCCACCCTCTAGCATGTATAAGTTGTCTCAATACTATTTTTAATCATGGGATAAATTATTCTAGGTTTAATAAAAAATAATAATGGATAAGATAATACTAATTTTTATCCTAGGATTATTTTTGTTTATTCGTGATATCAAACAGACCCCTTACTAGTCCGTGCAAAAGTGTCAATTTGTACTAGTTGAAATTGTATAAGACCTTGTGACAAAAACAAAAAACAGTCATAATTGGACTTTTTTCATCTTTCTTAAAATTTAAAAGTACTCAAATTTTCAAATTAAAATAAGTTATCACATTTGAAGATTGCATACAATAAAGAATGAGACTCCCAACATTGACCAAGAAACAACCAAACTTGAATTAGGTCCCAATTGTGATCTGTTAATGCTCTATCATTTTCTTGTTAGGTTATGCAAAATCACACTACCCTACTTTCTTATATTCTTATCATTAATATAACTCGATAGTATATAAATATCTAAATTATATATGGGACCACTTTTATTATTGGAGCACCTAACATTAAATATTTCAACTATACTATATACGCAAAGTAAATCAAAATTATTTTTAAAGTGAATTGTTTAATTCCTTTTTCTTCCTTTGACGAGAAAGTGTAACTTCTTAAAATATTTTTTCAGTCTGCGCTGTATCATTGTCTTATGAAGTTGTTATTTTTTCAATCTCACTGGATTATATAATAAATTAGTATTTATGAACGTGAGTTGCACATTAATGATGGCACGTGATGATTTAAACATTTTAATTATCTAAAAGCCGGAAAATATTATTACATTAGCATAATACGTGAGTTCAAAATGAAAGGACATCATTAGAACTTACACAAATGATCAATTTAGTCATGTTAGTTAGATAATTACGTATTACAGTTTAAAAGTATTTGATCTGATGGTATCTCACCGAACACTTCTTTGTAGATGTGATGACCCGATAGGTCATCTCATGTTCTAAAACCTAATTCTGTGACCCCGAAGCCTTAAAATCATTTTTAGGACTTCCTCGATTTGCGTGCGCAGGCCGAGCATTTTTCCGAAAGCTTTTATGTTAAAAACTACTTCATCCGTTCCAATTTAGGTGAACCTGTTTGACTGGGCACGAAGTTTAAGAAAAAATGAAAGACTTTTGGATTTTATGGTCCTAAACATGTCAAAAAGGGGCCCAGAGTATTTGTGTGATTATAAAAGCTTCTCATTAAGGGTAGAATTGTAAGTTTAAGCTAAATTATTTCCAAATTTAGAAAAGAGTCATTCTTTTTGGAACGGACCAAAAAGGAAATAGGTTCACATAAACTGGAGC